CCTATTCGTTTATTTTTAAAGATTTATTTATTAGTCCTCTCTGGTAGCGCAGCAACAGGTTTATGACTCAGCACTGCAAGCTGGCTGCAGCTGCTTGAGTTCCATCCCCAGCCTGGAGGTGACCCACATGGCACGGCAGACCTCTCCAGTCTCTCCTTGCTCCCTTCAGCAGTGTACTTCATTGATCTGCCTGCTTGTGCTGCTCCTTGCTCTGTTTCTTTTTTTTTTTAAAAGATTTATTTATTTATGCATACAGAACTGAGATACAGGTCAAAGGTGCAGGGGGTGAGAGGCTTCACCAGAGATATAGTGGGGAACAGAACAGGCAGATATACTGAAGTACCACTGCTGAGGGGAGCAGTGGTCAGTCCATGTGTGTCACCTCCCTGGCCTGGGATGTTAACTCATGCTGTAGTGGCCGGGGAGTGCTTCATAGTGTTGTGCTTTAACCCACTGGGCCACCAGGGAGGGCCCTTAAAAGCGCTTTTAATTCTGTCTTCTATTTTATTGTTTTACTTGAGTTTCATTCTTTTTGCTATTGTTTATCACTAACCTGATCACTAGTATGTTTCTATATACTACATGTGAAAGGGCTTTGTAACTTCATGGAATTTATATTATCAAAGAACATGATGCATTCTGAAAACATTTTTATTAGTATTTCATATGCTAGCTTTCTATAGCACTAACTAGGAAATCAAGTCAGTATATGATGATGCCAGTATATTTTATTGAGTTGTAAAAAACAGTTGCAGCTGGTCTGCTAAGTATGACTCCTTTTTTCACAAAATTAAAATCACACATATGTGTATATTTACATATACATAGAAAAGAGTTTAGAACATACAGATTTTTAAGGGAATGGCTAACTCAGCGGATTAATGGTAGATTGACAGGATTATTTATTTTTTGCTTTAAATCCCCCCCCCCCCCGTAAATATGCACTACTTGTGTTATTAAAAGAAAATCCTCCCCAAAGAGAGTTTTGATTAAGGTTTAACAGATCATTAAATGAGACCACATAGCATGTGTAATGTTTAACTTGCTAAACTGCCGTTAGATCCGTTGGCTGAGCTGTTGTTACAGTCCTCTCTGTCCTTGCTTTTTTTCTGTGTAGTAGTTCCATCAATTAGAAAGGCTTTGTTGGAATTCTCTGACTATAATTGTGGATTTGTATATTTCTACTTTGGGTTTTATCCATTTTTACCTCTTATATTCTGAAATTCATTTTTTTGATACCTACACATTTAAAACTGCCATCTTTTTTTGCTGAGTTGATTTTTTTGACATTACACAATGTCTTTGGTAATTTTCTTTGCTTTGATGTCTTCATTAACTAGGGAAAAAAAGAAGTCTACATTATCTGATGGTAACATAACATTCCTGCTCTTTGATATTATATTTGATAATATTTGATAGTATTTTCTACATTATTTTATATTTGCATGTATTAAATAAAAAATTAATGTTTACATTTTCAGTCTAATCTTTATCATAATCAATGTGAATTTCTTATATTTCATGATTTTTTTATCAGTTCTATGACTCTTTAAATGATGTGTTTAGCCCAGGTAGATTTAAGTGTAGTTGTTGTGATAATAGCTTAATCTATTGTTTGTTTGTTTTGTCTATTTCATTTTTCCTGCCTTTCTATGGGTTACTTGAACATTATTTATAATCCCTTTTTAATTTATTTGTACTGTTCTTGAGGTTATCTGTGTATATATTTCAGTGGTTTCTTTATACATTGTGTTATATGCTTTGTAGTTTTTCAAAGTTTACTGTTACCAATATTTTACCACTTTGAATGATCTATGTAAGCCTTTTAACCACTTAAATCTTTTTACCAACTCCCCTTTATAATTTGCTTAAATATTTCCTCTACATAATATTGAAAACCATATCAGGTTTTGTTATAGTTTGGGCTTCTACCACTAAATATAATCTAGAAAATTCTTTTTATTCTTCTTTCTCTTTTCTTATATTCCAAGATTCTTTCTTTGTATCTGAAGAACTTCTTTTACCAATTTCAGGCTAGGTCTTGTTGGAAATAAATTGTCACAGTTTTCTCTCATCTGAGGAGGCCTTGACTTACTTTTTAAAGGGTGTTTTCAGAATATCCTTAGAATTCTGAGTTGACAGTTCTTTTCTCAGCATTTCAAAAGTGTACCACTTCTTTGGTCTTCATAGTTTCTGGTGAAAAATAGACTTATTTGAATCATTGTCCTTTTAACCACTACAGATGTTTTGGTTTTGGTTTATCATCTTTTGCCTTTGGTCAGCTTTTTGAATCTTTTGTTTTATCATTACCAGTTGTTGAAAAATTTTAACCTTTTTTTTTTCAGATGTTTTTCTGGTCTGAATGGTCACTTTCCTTTTCCACTTTTTCTGGTATTTTGCTGGATATTTATTGTCAAAAGTTTTTTTTTTTTTTTTTTTTTTTTTTTAATCATGCCTGTATCTTGCCAGTTTTTTGACAAGAGTGAGCAGGCTTTTCCTGAGACTTTCTTCATCTACGTGCATTACTGTTCATGGGTATGGACTTTTATAGCACTCAGTCTGTGCTATAGTGGAGGCCCAAAAAAGGTCTTAGGAAACTCACCACCACGTTGTCCTTGAATCCTGGAATTACACCTCATCTGCTTTCTTCTTTTCCACTTTTGCTTTGCATTTCTTTCTCCCCTCTGGGATGGTTAGCTTTTTATTTATTTATAATTACTTTAAAAATACTTGTTTTATTTATGCATGTAAAAACTGGGGTTCAGGCCAGAGATGAGGTGGGTAAGAGGATTCACCAGAGACAGAGTGGGGAGTGGAACACAGACTGACCAAAATACACTGATGAGGGGAGCAGCAGGCAAGACAGGAAAGGTCTGCTGCTCCATATGGGTCACCTTGGCCAGGGATTGAACTTGTGTCACAGTGGCAGGCTATAACTTGATATTGCTGAGACTTTAACCCCTGTGCCACCAGGCTCTGGAATAGTTACTTTTTAATGTTTGTTTATAAGAGCTCCTTATATATCTACTCTGGGTATTCAAAATGCAGTAAAGGTGTTTTCTAATTTTATTTTAAACTGTTCATAGTTTTTTTCATCTAGACATTAAAATTTCTTGTTTATGACTTCTGTCTTTGGCAGCCAACTTATGATTTGACAGTATATTTACAATAAATTGAAAACAAAGTTTTTTCTTTTGCTTTTCACTTTTTTTTTTTGGATTCTGGATGATGCGGCACTCAAAAGGGCATTCTGTATTTTGGTTTCTTCAGTGTTAGTTATAAAAACCTGTTCTTCTGTATTCATTTTTAGTAGATAGTAAAATAGTAGCTATCAATAATTTACAAATTCCATGTTTGAGGTACTTCTCTACAACCTGAATTATAAAATCTCCATTTTTTTCCATTGAAAAATAAAGTAGCTGTAGGTGAAAATACAACTCTATGAAGAAACAATAAAAAGTAACCAAGTATGTACACAAAAACATTAAAATTATATAATACTTTGATGAGTTCAATATTGTCATGAAATACTAATTTAAATATAATGTATTAGAAACTTTGTCATTCCTATTTATGAATAATACTGAAGTTTTTTGTCATTATAAAGGACAGAAAATTGTCTGCTTTTATTGAGTCAGCAATTATTGTTTGAATGTTGTCATAGTATTTTCACATGTGAACTGGTTTTTCCAGAAGTGTGAATATTACCACTGTGCCTCCTTGGTTTTAGGTCTGTCCCATAATTGGTCAGCTTCCTACAGTAATCTGCAAAGTATACTGTTGTTAAATTGATTTAGTGGTTATAATTCTTATATCACAGAAATTCTTTTAATTGGTTTGGTTAAAATTTTTCTTCTGGAACTATAATTAAGCCCCATATTTTCCCCCCTTGGTTCAATGTACATTAGGTAATCAGTTCTGGTAGTATGATATGCCTTTGCAGGCATTTTCCATGCTTAGAGAGCATTTATGTATACAGCATTAGTAAATAACAAATTATTATCCAGCAGCTTTTATGGTTGGCAGATAAATTGATACTTTGGGATCAGAAAAGCCTGTGCTGCTGAACTTGTTTACCAAAAATATTTATGGAACAAAATACCTGAAGAAATGTATACCAAGCAAAAAGTATCAACCCAAAAAAGTGTTAACCCTTTTTTTGAAGGATACATACAACTGTCATATGAGATATAGCACTAAGCATCTCTGTTATTTGTCATTCAAGGGTGCAACTGGAAACAGATTTGAAGATTGAAAAGGAATGGAGACAGACTTTGCAGGAAGATCTTCAGAAGGAGAAAGATGCCTTGTCTCATTTAAGAAATGAAACTCAACAAATCATTAGTCTTAAAAAAGTAATGGTGGTAAAACTTCCAAAATAATATCTGATGAAAGTTATTTAAAAAGATAAATAAGTCATAATTTACAATGATGCCAACAAAACAGTATCTAGTGATCTTAAAAGACATTATGAAGGAGATTAAACAAATGGAGAATATTGAGAGAACAGCTATAAAAGAACTTTGCACTATTTTTTCTTTATAAAAAACTAAAAGGTATGTGTTTAATTAATGATTGGTATACAATATAGAATTTCTTGTTTCTTTTAAATTGCATTTTCTGTCTTTCATTGTTTTGAAGGAGTTCCTTAACCTCCAGGATGAAAACCATCAATTGCGAAAAATATATCATGAACAGGAGCAAGCTCTTCAAGAATTGGGCAACAAACTTAGCGAGTAATTTCTCTTCTTGTCTACAACTAGTCTTTGACTTTTTAGGAGCTATGAGAGTGCCAAATCAAATAAAGAAAAGAAATAAATTAGTAAAGAAAAAACCCAGGCCTTCCCTCGTGGTGCAACAGGTTAAAGCACAGCACTGTGCAGCTATTTGCATCCACTGCAGAATGAGTTTGATTCTCTAGCCAGGGAGATGACCTGTGGCGTGGCAGACCTCTTCTGACCCACCTGCTTCTCCCCTCAGCAGTGTGTTTCAGTATATCTGCCTGCTCTATTCCCTACTCTGGGGTGAAGCCTCTCACCACCCCCCAACACCTCTGGTTTGTACCCCAGTTCCTGTATGCATAAATAAATAAATCTTTTTTTAAAAAAAGAAAACTGAAACCCCAAAAAACTAAAAATTAAGAAATAAGACTAGATTGGAGAGAAGAGATTTTGTTGAAGGTTAGTAGATCATAGCCCTGATATTGCTTAAATACTTCAAGTCTTCAGGATGAAATATTTAATATATTTTTCTCAGAAGCCATTTTTTCAGAATATCTGGAGAGATCTTTTTCAGACTGTTTTGAGAAGGAGCCAACATTGTTAGAAGCTGAGGGTATTTTATGCCATTTGGAGTTGGGGCATAACCTAGACATTGCTTGGTTCATGTGTTAAATAATACTGTCATAATTACATGAAAATGCCAATATCTTTTTTTTTTTTTTTTTATTGCAGGAAAATGCCAATATCTTTTTAAAAATGTTTTAGTAAAGTGATATTGGCCAGTATTTCCTTTAAGGTATTTTTTTTTTTAATTTACATTTTTGCTTTAGCAGGTTTAGAAAATAGAGAAACATTAAAAAATATAATCCTGCTAGCCAGTGAAGATTAGAATCATTGCAGTTTTATGCAATAGGGAAAACTAGTACTTTTCTAATAAATTACTAAATATTCTGTGTTTTAATATGTGCACTGAACTTGGACATATCTATAATCTTTTTAGATCAAAACTTAAAATAGAAGATATAAAGGAAGCCAACAAAGCACTGCAGGTGAGTAGAAAGTCTGAAGTAGGAAGTTGGAGATATCCATGAGTCTCCAGTAGAAGGTAAAATCCTGCATTATTAATCCAAGGTTGGGGCCTCCCTGATGGTCCAGGGGTCAAAGTCTCAGCACTATAAAGTTGTAGCCAATCACTACATGCAGGAGTTTGATCCCCGGCCAGGGAGGTGACCCACATGGTGTGTCAGACCTCTCCTGAACTACCTGCTGCTCCCCTTAGCAGTATCTTTCAATAGATCTATTTTGCTCCCCACTATGTCTGGTGAATCCTCTTATCCTCCCACCCCCATACCTGTGATCTACATCCCAGTTCTTACATGCATAAATAAAAATTAAAAGTAACAGGGCCCTCCCTGGTGGCGCAGCAGGTTAAAGCACAGCACAAAGAAGCTTAAACCACTTCCGCATGAGTTCGATTCCCGCCTGCCCCGGAGGTGACCACATGGCGCGGCAGACCTCTCCTGACTTGCCCGCTGCTCCCCTCAGCAGTGTACTTCGTCGATCTGCCTGTTGTGCTCCCCACTTTGCCTCTGGTGAATCCTCTCACCCTTTGCATCTATACCCCAGTTCTGTACGAATAAATAAATCTTTAAAAAAAAATTAAAAGTAACAATAAATAAGTCAATCTAAAGTACTGTATTATTACTGAATCCCAGGTGTATAGAGGCAGAAACACTTACTATTGAGCTTGAATAATGGGGCTCCAGCTCTTTTCTATACCTTTCTAGTCATATATTATAAAATAATCTTTATTTTGGAAAGGATCTTGGAATTCATTCTGTCCATTTTCCTACAGATTGTGGTATGATTATAATTGCCTTTGAACTTGAAAAATCCTTGAGTTCCCATGCCAATCTATCACCTTTTAGTTTTTGATCCTCAAGTCACATATCCTCATGGAGATTCAGTTTTCTCTTCAAATGGGCTTATGATTTAAATCAGTTAATACATGTGAGGGTGACTGGTAGAAGTTACCAGTATGTAGTTCAGAATATGTCTGGATGCAAGCATACTGTCTACAAAGTAGGAGAAAATACCACCTCTGTGTGAATACTTCAGCACAAATGGCTTCCTACTACACAAGCAATCCATTTGCTTTTTAAAATCAGTGTTAATTGCAAAAAAAAAATGAAACAAAAAACCAAAAACAAAAAACAGCCCAACAATGCTAGACTTTTAAAAAAAAGGGCAGCAGTCTCTTGTTCTTCACCCCCTTATCTCTTATCAGTCCCAGTTCCTGCCACATTGGTGATTTTTCCTGGCATTTTATCCCCTGCCATTTCTAAATAATATGCAATATATGTGTTCACTCTTAATTTAAAGCCATTTTATTGTAGACCTAGCAATTGCCTGGCTCACCTGCTGACTATTGCCCTTCTCATCCTGGCCCCATTCTAAAGTAAAAGTTGTGTGTAAGTTATTTTTTTCTTTTAAAGATTTATTTATTTGTACATACAGAACTGGGGTACAGGCCAGAGGCTCAGGGGCGGTGAGAGGCTTCACCAGAGACAGAGTGGGGAGCAGAACAGGCAGATCGACGAAGTACACTGCTGAGGGGAGCAGCGGGCGGGTCAAGAGAGAGGTCTGCCGCCATGTGGTCACCTCCAGGGCAGGTGGGGATCGAACTCATGCAGAAGTGGCTTTAGCTTCTCAGTGCAGTGCTTTAACCCACTGCGCCACCAGGGAGGGCCAAAAGTTGTGTGTAAGTTATTTTAAGATATTTACCTTATATTCTTTATTCAGATCACTTAAAATAATGTTCTTTGCTGGGCCATGTATTCGAATTGTATTTCTTTCTTGAACTATGTTTTATTTTCTCTGTAACTGCCTTTTTTAAAACTTAGTTGACTTTGAACATCTGTGTTTTCTCATACTTTCAAACACCTCTTCAGAAGGTTTCCTGATAACCTCCTCCTGCGGTTCTTGACTCTTCTGTTCCTGTGGCTGGTCTAGTTAGTTGCCCACCCTGACATTTTCCTCTGCTACCATTCTTAGAATTCCCTTTACTCTTCTCACGTTAGCATTTACTACCTGAACACCACAATTTCTTACGTGTTTTACTCCCTTGTTTTGGGCAATGCATCCTATAGTTGCTTCTTGGAAAATTATTTTAAGATTTTTCACACCTGTATATGCCTTTATTATTTTTTATTTTTAAAATTATTTTTGTAGGAGATGGTATGGATGTCTGGCCCAACTCTCATTTAACTGTAGAATTTGTTCATTGTTAAATATATCATGTATACAAGAGTATACATGTAGTACAATTTAAAAATATTGGGATACTGTTTTAATTTGTAATAAAACATGGCCAGTACCTTAGAAGCCCCCATATGTGTTCCATGAGTGACTTCTATAGTAGCAAACCTTTATTTTGTGTTAGTCATTAAGTTATTTTGTCTATAACAAGTTATCTAGATTTCCCTACTTTTATAAGTATAAAATAATTATGTCTTCTTTCCTTCTTGTCATTGACAGTTGATATGTCTGCTTTTTTTTTTTTTTTTTAAAGATTTATTTGTACATACAGAACTGGGGTACAGGCCCGAGGCTCAGGGGTGGCGAGAGGATTCACCAGGAACAGAGTGGGGAGCATAACAGGCAGATCGACGAAGTACACTGCTGAGGGGAGCAGCGGGCGGGTCAGGAGAGGTCTGCCACACCATGTGGTCACCTCTGGGCAGGCGGGAATTGAACTCATGCAGAAGTTGCTTTAGCTTCTCAGTGCTGTTCTTTAACCCGCTGCGCCACCAGGGAGGGCCGATATGTCTGCTTTTTAAAGAGTTTCTCACATTCTGAATTTTTTCTGATTGCCTGTGTATAGTACTATTTTTTAATTGTTCTTTTATTCTTATTGCATATAGCCTGGAAGTTTAAATATAAAGACTTGGTTAGACTCAGGAAACTTCTTTGAGACTTTTAATTTTAGCTCCCATATTTTTAATAATATTTAGCATCTTTTTATTTGCTCATTTTCCTTCTAAAATAGCATACCATTATTTTATTGCTAAAGATAATCACCATAGTTTAAAATTTTATTTTGCTACCATCATATTCTTTGCTCGAATTCCATTCTTGAATTTCTTTGGGTGAGTAATCTCTTGGCCATATCATTCCTCAAATGCTGGTTTTCATTTTGAACAAAAAAATCTTGGAAGACTTGTTGGTAGAGAGGAGTAGTTTGCTATAGGTTGATAGGTCTCACTATCATAGAGAAATCTATTAAATACAATTGAGTGCCTTCTCTAAATTATGTTAGTATCTGTAAGACCTTTTCTCAGGGGCAGTTGAGATTCTTGAACCCTAATATCCCTTTTGGGAAGTCTAAGTTGGGTAGCTGACATTCTGAAACTAGACAGAGAAAAATAGCCAGTTGTTTGCAGACCAGTATCTTGGTCTCTTCTAGACTTGGCTCTTCCTGGAGGGAGCAACTTAAGCTCCTGGAACTCAGGTTTCCTCATGTATAAAATGAGTGTGGTACAGGTGCTGATCTCTGAAGTCCCTTGCCAGCTGAGTTATCCTACGGGGCATATAGCCTTTTTCCAGGAGAGGTGCAGGGTTAAGTTGAAATCGAAGAAATATGGAAGGCCAACCGTGATGTCAGAAAGGCTATTGCTGAGCCTAATAATGCTACTTGGAGATTTGCCCCTCCTGGACAGAAACAAAATTGCTTTGATTAAGTAGCTTTGGGACATTTGGCCAAGTCACTTTCTTTTTAATGGTGTTTGCAAAGTTGAATTGGATCATCTTTAAGCTTCTGTCTTTTATAGAAAATATTCCATAATTCATTTGCTGGTTTTTATGAGCTATATGTAGTATCACTGTTGGTCTATAATAAATCTTAGTTAATGCTATAAAAATAAAAATACCCCAAATTAGCCTTGTAGTCTTGATGTATAAGGCTACTTTTCATTTATTTTTTCATCTTTCTTCAAAGGATTGTTAGAAAAAGCTTATAAGAAAACTAAGGTTTTGAGGAATATATGTATTTTTTTATTTGTAGGAATGTTTTTACTAAGTATAGGATCCTGTGCTTCAGAGGTACTTTCTAGGTGATCCTTTATCTACCATATTGGGTTATTATGCTTAGAACTTTGGAAGCAGTAGCACTGTGGCTTGGTTTGAGGCTGTTTTACAAAGAAACATGAATGAATGGGGTTAATCAAAAGCACTGAGGACCCTTCCTTCACAGGGGAAGGAAAACCTGTACATTATAAAACTGGCATCATCTAACAGTTTCTTTCATAGGGGAAAAATGTTTCCTGGTCAAGTTAGAAATTTTAGGAATGAAATTATTCTGGCCTGTTTTAGGATAATTTACATGTCTTCTACTTAAGTTTATATAGTAGTTATTAAATTTATGAAGTTATAGAACTTGAGGTAATACAGCTGTGTAAAAATAAATTTAAGGGAATGTCTTTTGCCTAAAGTAAACATGATTTCCAAATTTTCTTAAGATTTTAAGGATTTACTACATATATAGTATAAGTACCAGATATATATTTCAACATGAAAATTTCTTTAAGTATTGCTGTAATCCATTAATTATTCCCATCAAAAGATTTTTGTTCTTTAAAAAACATGTATCATGGAGATATTCAAACTCAGTACTATGAAGGGTGATTTTTGTTTAAATGTTGATTTTTACATCATTTTGTACACTTTTTTTCATCTCAATTGTAATCCCCGTGGGTTTCCCATCACCAAGTCACCTATGTGGCATCACCATAGTCCCCTGTTCCCTCCACTGTTTTTGATCCCATTCCCCACTCCACCCCCATAAAATGTCTCTGGTATATGGCTGTTCATTATTTTCTCACCTGGTCCAATATATTTCTGCTATGAGCGAAATCATCCGGTGTTATTTTTTTTCTTTCTGGCTTATCTCACTAAGCATGATCTTTTCCAGCTCCATCCATGTTGCTGCAAAAGACAGGCGTTTCTTTTTTTTTTGGTTGCTGAGTAATATTCCATTGTGTATATATACACACCTTTTTAATCCAGTCTACTTTTGGGCATTTGGGCTGCTTCCAGGTCTTTCCAATTGTAAATAGAGCAGCACTAAACATGGGGGTGCAGGTATCTTTTTGAATCAGTTTTTGTCTTTTGGTTAGATACCTAGGAGTGGGTTGTATGGGAGCACCATGTTAAGCAGTTTGAGGAACCTCCAGTTTCCCATTAGTGGTTGTACTAGTTTGCATTCCCACCAGCAATGCAGGAGAGTTCCTTTTTCTCCACATCCTCACCAACATTTGTTGTTGCTAGTTGTCTGAAGATGTGCTATTCTCACTGGGGTGAGGTGGTATCTCATTGCGATTTTAATTTGCATCTCCCTTATTACGAGTGATGTTGAACATTTTTTCATATGCTTGTTGGCCATCTGCATTTCCCCTTTGGAGAAATGTCTTTTTAGCTCTAATGCCCATTTTTGATGGAGTTGTTTATTTTTGTTGATTTTCATCAGTTCTTTATCTTTGTGATATATCTTTTATTGCTAGTTTTGTGTGAGAACATTTTTTCCGAATCAGTGGGATATTGGTATTTTCTAATGTCTTTTACTGTACAGAAGCTCTTTAACTTGATGTAGTCTCATCTGTTTGTTTTCCTTCACTATCATTGTGTTGGGTGCTATATTTTCAAAGATGTTACTGAAGTGCATGTTGTATAGTATTTCATGAAGGGTGATTTTTTAAAAAGTGTTATTAATTTGAGCATTAATATTCATACTTTTCCTACTAGGGATTGGTTTGGTTGAAAGACAAGGAAGCAACACATTGTAAACTTTGTGAAAAGGAATTTTCACTCTCAAAGAGAAAGGTAAGAGGTAGTCTGTAAAAGTTTTGGTGTAAAAAAGTCTTCTGATCTTTATTCATTTTTCTTATTTTTCCATTTGCTAGCACCACTGTAGAAACTGTGGGGAAATTTTCTGTAATGCTTGTTCTGACAACGAACTGCCTTTGCCTTCTTCACCAAAGCCAGTACGGGTTTGTGATTCCTGTCATGCACTGCTGATTCAGAGATGCTCATCTAACTTGCCCTGACTCCAGACTAAATTCCTATGTACTGAAAGTACTTAAGATGAATGTTATGAACATGTGTAAAACACTATCAGACAGCTCTTCTTAAGCGGCTTTGACAGTATTGTTTTTCATATTCAACTAATGAAATTAAAATTGTTAATTTGTATTTCCTTCTCCACTGTTACTCAGAATTTTCAACAGGGCATGTGTTAAAATAACTTTAGTCTAATTCCTAATTGATATAATAATCATGTAATTCTTAATGCCACTGTAAGGCCAGATAGTATAGCTACTACACATTTGCCTTACTTTATAAAGGCCTTCTTAAAAACAGGGCTTCAGATTGTTTTATTCTAAGTTGATATTTGACAGTGCCTGTAATTTTAATGCACTTTAAAGCCTCATGGTTCTCAAATATTAGAAATGCATAAAACCTTTTTTGAAGTATTAATATTTCAACAGGTTACTCATCTTGGTAAGATTAACATTTTTTCCCCTCTCCTTCCTTTACATTATTTTGTTAGTGTAGTTTTTTATCATGTAAAATGTCCTTTTGGTTTTGTTATACTTGCTGATACCTTTCAGAGACAGTGTGTTTAAGATATTTTTGCCTCCTCTTTTTACCTTAAATTTTGGTTATCTTTTTGTAGTAAACTACTTAATGTTTTTTCAGGAAGAGCTCATTATCCCTTTTGAATATTGAACACAAATCCTTCCCCAGAAAAAATTGTACAATAGCAGGGGAATTACAGGCTGCTAGTAGGGTCTAAGCATTGAGAAAAATTTAAACACTATAAATCTGATACGACAGATGAAAGAGAACTTTATTACATTTCCATTCCGGTAGTTTTAGGAAGTTATGCTGTACTTTAGTCTAGAGTACAAAACTCACTAGACTATGCAGGATCTAGAGCAGATGAGTATCTGACCTGCCATGACATACTTGAACTATTTCAAGCATGAAAATACTGTTATACTGCTAATAGAACTACAAGATTTAATTTGTAAAAAACCAGTTACTCTTGTATAATTTTAGTCTTGAATCAATACTTAGGGATCCTTTTTTCTCCCAGTTGTCTAGTTTCAGCCACGCACTTTAAAATTTTACATTAAACCCTAAGGGCATTGTAGTGACTAAATCACAACCATTCCCTTAGTCCCAAAGTTGAGGTCACTTACACTACAGGATTCTTTGCTCAGAGTACATGTTAAGGTTTAAAAATTAGTTTTTTAAATTGCCAAAGTTATGAAACTAACATTTTACTTGAAGACTTTTCCCCATAATTTAGTTTTTGCACTTAGTCAAAACTGATTTTTTTAGGTAGTCTTTCTGGAATGCTCCCATAGAAATGTCCCTAAGTGATATGTATTCTGAACTGCTTTGTATTGATAGGTTAACATTTTTATGATTACAATGAGAAAAATTTCAATACTAATAGGTAGTATTTTTATTACTGTTTAGAACAAATCCTAAAATGTGCTTTTGCTTAAAATTTTGGTTTCAAAAAATCTAGCCATGATTCTTACTCTCCATTAAGAACCCATGCATTGCTACTGATCTGGATTTTTAAGAGGCAAATTTTTTGACAGCAAGCAAGCAATACAACTTACTTTTGGCTCTTAAAAAACATTTATACTAAGTTTGGATTGTTTCAAAGCTTTCTAATTGTAGCTGTTAACCTGTAAGGCTTGCCCTCCAAAGGTATCTTCAGACCATTCCCTTGTATTATAACCATGTTGTCATGGTGCCAAGAAATTCTGACTTTAATTCTTCTCTCTGGCAATGTTTTAAGATGTGAATTTTATAAGCCAAATAAAAGTTTTGAAAATTTAGCCTTGCTTTAGAAGGGTAATGTTATTTATAACATTTTATATTTTTACTGCTTAAATACTGTAATAGAGTAATCCTGGAAAGATCAAAAAGCTCATGTGTTCCTTTAAAAAGGTAAGTCATGTGTGTCTATTGTTTTAAATGGGTAATGAAGAGTGGATTATGGGCACTTATCCAGATGTTTGATCAGTCTCTTATAGGCCATAGCACCTACTTATTGAAATCACTCCTGAGAGTCACTACCTAATCTACAGTTAAGACATATATACAACCTTCTACCAACGTGATTTATAATCAGTAACTGACACAAAAGCATTCTAGGACAGACGCCATGCCATTATCTCCCACATTGATATTTATTACATTGACATTTCTGGGAAAACAAAACAAGTTCAAAACTATTTACATTCACAGGTTTCATTTTGATCCATTAGCCAACGTGGGCAAAAAGCCTATTGATTAAAGGGATTAAAAGTAAAAAAGCACCTTTTCCCTTGCCTTTTTTAAAAACACAATGGATGAAAAATCTCAGATACCAAATGCAGGACTCTCATTTTAATTAAGACTATGACATGGACTTGCCTTACATTTTAAAAAAGTGATCATTTATACACGTATTAAAAAACCATAGCTTTAACTATTGGGCAGGAAACAGAAAATACTTATGTGAGAATTATATCTTGCAGTAAATACTTTTGTATTTAATTCTCACATCACTGAGAATCTTACCCTAGTCTAAGACATTTTGAGGTTACAACTTTTACTTTTGGCATTTTAGTCACATGCTAAGGGCATTTTATTCTAAAATCTAGGACTAGAATTTAAACTTCCAATACTCCCAACCTCAGGTAACAAATGATCAATATTCAGAAATGCAGTTACTTTTTAGATTATCAACATTTTCAGAACTATACCTGATATTTTAATAGCGCTATCTGGAATTAGTTGAATTTATGCTCCTGAAGCAACCTAATTCATCCTTAGGTTTTATACTGTCCAGGAGAAAGTATTTTCTAATAAGCTTTATTCCAGATGTCTGATTATAATACTTGAAATTTATGCAGAAGTGAACTACTACCCTCTGAAACTACACTATACTACTTGCAAAGCTAACAATAAAATACACCAACCGAAATCTTATGAAAGTAGCACAATCCTTAGGAGTAACTAGTATATAAAAAGTATCAACATCAGTGGTTTGAATATAAAAATTTATTTTAAGTCAAAGTATGCAACAAATAAAACCTACAGAAAACAGATTTCCCATCACAATCTGTTGCTTTACCAAATAATATTTTGAAAACACATTCCTTCAGTCATTATAAAGTTCTTAAAATACAAAAGAAATTAAATCTGTAAGAAAGTCTAGTAGACCAGATGCTGTTGTCAGGACTTTTATGTCAGCGGTTTTGCTTTAGTACATCCCACGCCATCCACCTCCACTCATGCCACCTTGGCCATAGTAACCACCACTGCCACCACCACCACGACCTTGAGAAAAACAGGAACATATTAATATTTTATCTCAAGAATAACAGGAACTTTTCATTGTCTGTACCACTACAGGGACTAACTAAATTATACAGAATCAGAGTAATCACTTACCATAACCACCTAAGCCATCAGGAGTACCATATCCTCCACTGTAATTGTTCCCCATTCCCATTCTTCCAACTGACCCATAAGCGCCTTGATTATCTTTAAAAATAAAGTAAACATAGGTTATTTATGCTTAAGTGTCTTAACAACTTTGCTTACTTAAAAAAAATTTACATACCCATTCCATCTCGGCCATAGCCTCCCATTCCAGAACCTCCCATTCCAGAACCGCCTCCAGGAGTGGAATTCAAAAAGAGTTCAATGTATCGATGTTCTTAAGAAGAAAAAAAAAAAAAAAAAGTAATACAGTAGAACAGGAATGATGGATCATATTCATCAGTAAAATCATAAAAAGGCTGATCAACTATTTTCAACTGACAGTACAATTATAAATTCTCAAATTTATAAGTTAGTGATAAAATGCCACGCAAGACTAAAATCTAGTTTTCATTTAAACCATACAGCCTTGAACAAACTTATCACAGAATGAAATTAAGACTCATGAAGGTATCATCTGAAAATTTTTTTGAAGTACCACCTGATTCACGTGTAGTCAAATTCAAGAATCGTTGGTTGAGGTGAAATTTAGTGGCCTAAAAATCGATAAGGATGGCATGCAGAAATAACTTGTGTAAGTGGTGTTAATTTTCAAGTGGCACGAGAATTCACACACATACAAGTCCATACCTATTTCTCTCCTTTAATAAATTAACTCTATGACTGAAAGTCATTTAAGTCTGATATAAGAAGCCATATGGCTTCAGATCCCAATGACTGGTCAGAGTTACCAGTTTTAAATCCTACAACTTCTTGCGTATTTTATAATCAAGTTCACAGCTAACAAAGATAGCATGTATACCAAGAATTTCACTTACGCATGTTGTTCTTATCTTTAGACATGGCAGCTACTGCATCTTCATGTGTCACAAACTCTACATCAGCTTCTCCTGTTGCTCTGCCATCAGCACCAATGTCAATATGAACTCGTATTGGATTTAGTGGTGAGAAGAACTAAATCAAAGAACACCTGTCATTTACTTTTTTACTTAGATTCTAAAGACTAAGATCCTTTTTAAAATATAAGCTAAGGGGTGATAAAAACATGTAACAGAATAATTTGAACTAAACAGATGCTAGCCAATATAAGCTATCCTAAAAAATACCTGGAAGTAGGTGCAGTTTTTTTTTTTTAAATTAAAACTAGATTTAAGCTGCTTAAGTTTTATAGGTCATATGTGCTTGCTTTAGCAGTCGTACAAATGGATGTGCCTAGATTTGGCCCATGGGCTGAAATTTGCTGACTGGAGACCCTAACCAATTTGAAGTCAGTTTCAACTTAACAACAGCATCTACTCCCATTATTTCAACTCCTTGATTTCTAATAACCTATAGCCACTTTTACAACTGACACAAGGGAAACAATCTTCCAGGTATCACCAGTTGTGCTAATCAGTCTTAAAACTAAATTCTTATATAGACCCTAATAAGAGTAGCTTTTATTTGACAGAGTCCTCTATGTAGGTCAACACAAAATAGACACAAAAATAGCCATTGACTACAGGTTAAATATAATTATTTTCATAAAGGATCTGGCAGTAAGACTCTAGAAAAACGAGAACACTTCAAAATACAGACACCAAGAAATTACTCACATTAGCAATGTCATTTTCAGTTGCACGAAAAGGTAGTCCTCTCATATGTACAAAATGACCACCGTGGAAACCTGAACTTGCATCACCAGCACCACCATAGCCATGCCCTCCCATACCTAGAGGTGAAAATTTCCAAAGGTTATAAATTGATACATGTAGGGAAAAAAATCTCAACAAAATATTTCCTCTCCATATACACCTATTTCTTCTTTCTCTGACAACCCAAGAAACCTCAACACTTTCTAAGCATCAACTGGAGAATTTACTAGCAAGTATATGTCCCTATTAAGTCATATTTAGCTCTGTAATGAAATAATGCCTGCACCATTTTTTGGTGTTAAGTCACCTAAGTTACCAGTAATTAGATGTAGAGCAAATATTAAAATGCACCTCACTATGAATGTAATAATATTTACCTCTTCCATCTCTCATTCTGTCATCAAAGCCATCATTTCCATAGCCATAATTATTATAGCCTCCATAGTCATCAAAACCTCCATAACCTGTATAATGTAAGGAGAAATATAATATTATACTTTCAAAAGCATAGTTTGTGGTAAGCAGCTTGGTTAACTTAGATTACAAGTTCGCAACACAACTTTTTAAAGCAGTTAACGTGGTACATTAAAAAAAAAAACAAAACAAAAACCCACAAAACTCAAAAGTTATCATCCTATGCCAAACTAAATGCCCAAACATGCCAGTATCTTAATTTTAAATTCTGTGTTGACTTACAT